CCCCCCCCCTCCACCCGCATTTTCCCTATAAATTTTTATTCACGCATCTTGCAAAAGAAGTAGGAACTCACTCTGCCCCGGAGCTGCATCATTTCACCCTGCATTAAACAAAACCAAAACATTTTTTGGGCTGGTCTCAGTAAATCTTTCTTCCCAACCACTTATCACAAGCTGCAAACTCACTGCCATTAGTGGTTTTCTCATGGGTATATCTTCCTACTTTATGGCAAGTTGGAAAAAAGTAGCGCAGCAGCACATTACTGCAGAATGACGGGTTCTGTCATCCAGGAAAGGATCAACCTTGTACAAACACTGCCCCCCCCCCAAAAAAAAAAAATCACGTTTAGCTAAAGCGGTGCTTTCAGGGTTAGAATTACAGTAGCCTAAAACTATATCTCACTCTGCCACTTTTGGTCGCAGATAAATATTGACTCTCACTCTGTAATGTTCTCAAACATGACATTTGTTATTTGTGTTTCCCAGAAAGTGTTTGAGAGAGAGGGAAAAAAAATCCACATCACAAAAATATTATTTGGTCCTGCGCCTCACAGAGCTCCATTAAAGCTGTAGTCAGCTGTCCGCACAGAGCGCTGCCCGTGACACTCGCCGCTCTGCGTTTGATGCATGTAGGCTGTGCCGTCCTTCGGCGGCAGTTAACAACTTTGATGTGTTCAGCCCAAGCGAAGCGCCATTTCTCTGCTTACTATATATAGGAAACGGAGATGCGTTTAAGGATAGACTTGTAGACCGCAGGCGTAATGAGTCTCTCATTTAGGTTTGGGATGCCTGCTCAGATGCCCTGATCACATTCGATAAGGAGAACGTGGAGGACGAGATGGCGTACATCGTGGAGAACGACCTGGTCGTGGCCGCGCTCACTAGACAGCTGGACAGTCTGTCTGGTAAGATTATGATTAAAACATGAAGCACCCCCACCCAGAACACACACAAGCACACAGTAGTTTGATTTCTATTCCATCTCCCTGCTGCCAGACTCAGGCAGCTAAAGCCACCACTTTTATTCCATCCCGTCCCCAGGTTTTGTTTATTTGTACTCTCTCTCTCTGTCCCTGTGACTGTTTTTAAAGACAAGCTCTTGGAGCCATCCTTGTTTTTCCTGCAATTTCAATCTAAACCTCACTGCCAGTGCTCCAGCACCCTGCGAGGACACGTGAAATGGTCCAGTGACCTATTTAAAGCCGCCATGTGCTCCCGGGCTGTGCCACCTCTCAAGACACTAAATCGCTGACGGGGTATAGCGCCGCATTGCCTTTGACAGCGTCCCAACTTTTGTGAGGTTCACAAATAAAACTGAGCTCTGCTATGTTCTCCACAGTTAAAGTGGCATATTTATAAACACTTTTCGGCTTTGTGCGCCAAACAAAAGGGGCGTGCGGTTACATCACGTTTGTGCCTCATGTGCCACCAGCTGTCTCATTTTTAGCATTTGGGATTGTTATGCTCAAGATGCACATGTACTCGAAAAATTTACTCCTCGCCAGCTGTTTTCAATGTAAGCCCTGCTCACCAGTCACTGGAAAAAAAACCAATTTTTGACTTTCGTGTTGCAGAAACTGGTCTGTGGATGGGTACCACTCCAAGTCAGCGTGAGCCAGAGTACGATCTGGATCCTTACATGTTTTGCGATGTCCAGCTGTGGATATTTTAGGATGAGGAGCAGTTTTAGTGTGAAATCTAACAAGCTGGCTGCGTGTCTGAAGTGTGGATTGGTGTGCTTGTAGATAAACACTATTAGTCAGTGCAATGTGGCGTGCCAAGACCATTAAGAGGACTGTCAAATGTGAACTTTGGCAGCTACTATATGCCACCGAGGAAAACCAGTGGTGTTTTATGAGGTGGTTTATAGATCTTCCACTGCTTTTGCTGCAGGCAAAAACCATCCTTTCTTTCCTTAAAGGAAAAAGTGGCTGATGATGATATATTCACAGGACCAAGATTGATCCCTTTCTTGTGAGAAAGTCACACCAGCTGCTCATTTCTTTTGAGAAACACAGTTTTTCTTTTCTTTTCTTTGAACAGTAGTCACCATTTTTTTTGCGTGTGTTTCTCTGGTGCTTTATTAGAAAATGTACAAGTGAAGTACAGGTCCAAGGTGGTGAAATACACATGGCCCATGCCTTCCCAGGAAACAGACTACATCCCATGGGTGCGCGTCACGCTGGCTAACGGAGAGACTCTTCAGACTAAGCTGCTGGTCAGTTTAATTTTATCACGCAATCTGTGGTTGTTGTTGTGTCTTTTTTATTCCATTAATTTCCTCCCACTCATCTGTTTTGCAGATTGGTGCAGATGGACCGAACTCAATGGTGAGGCGGGAATTAGGAATACCCACAGTCAAGTGGAATTATGACCAGTCTGCTGTGGTTGCTGTACTGCACCTATCAGAGGTGAGCGTTAGTCTTTACACAATGTAAATCCCCGTAATTTGAAGGCTCTTATGCTTTTTTCTTATTTTATGTCTCATATGTACATTCAAGGGACGTTTTATTAGGTCCTCAATAGCTTCAATATTCAATGTGTTACCTTTTCAGAGATGGTCTTCTGCATAATTATGCTTCTTCTGCTCTCTTAGCCACGTCTCTCTTGAAAAAGAGTTTGTAATCTCAACGAGACTTTTACCCGGATAAATAAAGGATAATTAAATAATAAAAATTTGAGGCACAGTTGCATTCCTATTAGTTTAAAGCTGTCTGACCATTCTCCTCAACCAGGCATTTTGACACAGACAACTGGCACTCAGTGGATATTTTCTCTTTTTCAGCCTGATCTCTGTAAAGATTGTTGTGTGGGAAAATCCCAGCAGATCAGCAGTTTCTGAAATACTCAGACCAGCCAGTCTGGCACCAACAAACATACCACATTGAAAGCAAAGTCACTTAAATCACCTTTTATCCTATTCTGATGCTCGCGTTGAACTTCACCGGGTCGTCTCAATCATGTCCACGTGCCTAAAGACACTGAGCTGCTGCCCTGTGATTGGCTGATTAGATATTTGTGCTAATGAGTAGTCTAACAGGTGTACCTAACAATGTGGGTGTATATGTACATATATACTGTTAGAGTAACTGATGCTCATATTAAACCTTGCAGCTGCTCTAAACACTCAAGCTGAACAGCTTATTTCAGGCAGAGGGTGAACTGAGGGCTTGTGTGAAGGCCAAGTACTCTGAAGTGTGAATCATGCAAAGCTACTCTATAGTCCAAAAATAAAAAAAATATTGAGCTGGAAATGAGCATAAGTCTCCTAAATATTTAAGCAAACCTTATTGTAAATTCCTTGGTGGATTTACTCAATGATTTTGTTATAATAGTAATTTTAACATCACATCTGTCAGCAGTCGGAGAACAATACTCCCGACTTTTATGATATTGTTTTTATGCACAGTTTATGATATTCAAATATAGCTGTACAAAACAATGCAGCTGTTTAATACGTTTTAATTTATGTGTCGGACAGCCCACGGAGAACAATGTTGCATGGCAGAGGTTCCTCCCAACAGGACCCATTGCAATGTTACCGGTAATATCTGGATTTTTTTTTTTTGCTGCTGCAGTATTTTCATTCTGTCACAGGAGCATTTAATGAAACTTCAGCTGTTGCGTTTTGTTCCTATGCAGCTGTCCGACACACACAGCTCTCTCGTGTGGTCAACCAGCCATTCACTCGCAGAGGAGCTCCTCGAGCTGGATGAGGAGCGCTTTGTTGACGCCATCAACTCTGCCTTTGTAAGTCTCGGTTCATACATAAACTGCCAATGTTGTATTTACACTCAGGTTGCCTGTCTGTCAGTAAGATTTTGCAAAGTGTCTGTATTTGTATGCAGTGTGCCATATGTGGCACGAGGTTCTCCTTACACTTCCACGATGAGCAGTTTTAAGTGGCTCACGCAAACAATACGGTCATTGTTTAGCCCAAAGTATACACAATACTAATATTTCATTGCAGGAACGATACACCTTTCTATTTTTTGTGTTTGGAGAAACTCCTTTTTCCCAAGCTGGCTATTTTTACTGGGCCTGCTTATGGACGGGGTCACCACGGTTGAGTCACGTTTGGTTTTAGGCCTGGTTTGCTAATTAAACCTGTGGTCTCCCAGTGTCGACCATTACTGCATGGAATGTTTTTCAAACAGAGCTAATTCAACTCCATAGCCTGACCGTCATCTTCTTTTAATTAGCTCAGCTCCCGAAGCCTTGCCAAACCAGTTAGTTAGGGAGGGGGGGAAAAAAAGAAAGCCCTCTCGCTGGCCTGGAGTTCAGCTTCACAGGGCAGCAGCTGTGTCAGCTAATTTCTTTGTCCACTAAGGGGACAGTGTCTGTTTTCTCTCTTTTCTGGCTGCTTTTCATTCTCTTGTCTTCTTTCCTGTCTGTCTGCTCGCTGGCAGTGGAGTAATGAGAACCAGTCGGACCTAATTGAGACGGCTGGCTCGCTGTTTCGAGGCGCTCTGTCAGCCATCATGCCGTCTGCAGGTTCACCTCGACAGCTTCCCCCGAGTGTGGCGGGGATCGGCCCAAAGTCACGGGTCATGTTCCCGCTCGGAATGGGCCATGCATCTGAGTACATCAGACACAGAGTTGCACTCATTGGGTAAGATAATAAAAACTAAAAGTAACAGCTCAAGCATGTTAATGCCTTTATAAAGGAGAATGTGTATTACAAGGTCTTGAAAAAATTGCTCTTAAAGTACGCTTTAAAGCTTTTAACTGTTTGCTTAGTCAGCTAATAAAGGGATGAATAAAGGGATGGTGATTTGAACTTGTACTGTGTCTAGAACTACTTAACTCGTCTTTTGTTTCTATTTCAGGGATGCGGCCCATCGTGTCCATCCTCTGGCTGGTCAGGGAGTTAACCTGGGATTTGGTGATGTGGCCTGCCTCACGCAGATCCTAAGTCAGGCGGCCTTTAACGGGAAAGACCTGGGTCAGTGAGAACTCTAAACAGACACAGCACGGCGGTTTTCACTAAGCTCTTTTCCATTGCCCCAGCTCAAACGCACGCCGTCGATGTGAACTATAAAAAGCATCAGCTTTTCCGGCAACATTCATTTGATGTTTTATTTTTTGCCCATTCTTTCCTGGAGCTCTATGTAGTCGCTTTTCATAGAAAAAACACAAAAATGCTGGTATGTGATGTTCTAAAGTTAGCGTAGCGCCAGTGCTTTGAGCTAATGTAGAAAACACATGACGGACTTATTCGGCTTAGAATTTATTCTCAGTTTTTTAACCTCCCGGTTCACGTGTGTTTGTGCAGGAGCAATTCAGCACCTGCTAGAATATGAAACCGAACGTCAGCGGCATAATCTGCCCATGATGGCTGCCATCGACCTCATGAAGCGGCTGTACTCCACCAACGCCGCGCCTGTGGTTCTCCTACGCACCTTCGGTCTGCAGGCCACCAACATGCTCCCAACGCTGAAAGTAAGCCTCTCCGTCTGTTCTAGTTTTAGATGTTAGCGAACCTGGAAATCGCTCAGATAACATTAACCACCTGTCAAGCACAAACCCCGCCTCCACCTTGACCCCACCTTCCGCCCACTTTTCTGATTACACGGAGCTTTACTTTAGCAGCGTCTATAATTTTACTGGTTCTCAACCTACTACTATGGCATCTAAGTTTAGCCTCAAATTTAGTGTTACCAAAAGTGTGTGGGTGGGGTGCACGGCTGGTCCTGAGGCAGCGGACACTGGCTTGTGTTTTCACACCCCTTTTATTACCGACCACTCATGTGAAATGGCTTTATTCCCTACTAAGTGATTCAAACCAACACAACTGTAACGGGTTGTAAAGGCATCTCGCTGCGGAGGCACAAACTTAAAAGTCACTTTCTGTTTTTTCCACATTAAATGCTGTGAATTTACTGCTTTACAGGTCTTGTGTAGAGAGTTTGCAGTGCCCCTCGCTTATAACAGGCTTTTCCTGAGCATGAGACAGAGGGTTGGAGAGTTTTTAAGTTCATGTCTGTTTTCACTTCACAGGAGCAAATCATGGCATTTGCGAGCAAATGATGCGTCTCTCATGCAGCGGCCGTTTGTGGATCTCCAGCGACTTTCAGCTCTAAATGTTGTAATGTAAAAAATACAATAAAATAATAAAAATTTTATTTTTCTCTTTGCCTGTCTAACATTAAATTATTTAAATCTTTTTTCTTTTAATATATTGAAACATACACAAAGCTTGTTTTTTCATGTTTTATTGACACATACATGATCTCACTGGATTTACTTCAAATGTACATATTGTCACGCATGAGTGTACTCTGATACTGATGAGCATGAGTACAGAGGCATTTGGCAGCAGTTGTGCGGCATAAAGTTTTTGCAATGTAAAAGCACTTCTTACCAAATAAGTTTCACTAAGTTTACATTATGTATATACAGCAGTAGTTATTGGAGTATGTTGAATATTAAAAGGACAGTAGAGGCATGGCTTACGAAACGGTTACACAAAGAGTTTAAACATTAATATTGGATGAGGATAATTAAAATACTCTTACATAAACTTTCAGTTATTTAAATATTTGTACAGTTCACAAGAAATACAAATGACTCTGAGCAACCAGCAACAAGGCGTTCTCAAAGATGTTATTACAAAAACATTTTGCTGTATTTGTTTGGCTGTGGATTATGAATCTGCATGCACGGTCTACCCTGGAGGTTTTCTTTTCCTTTGGTAGTACAGTTCATCACAAAGGCCCCAGGTAATTGAGCCCTGCTTCATAAGATATTTTAATCTCACAGTAATGGCTGCACGCTAAAAGAATATGGAATTTAACCTCATCTAAGTAGCAGCATCTATAACCCACTCTGTCAGAGGCATCTCTCCATATCTCTCTTTGCCCCAGGGTCATGGTGAATCCACCACTAATGATGAATATGTACAGCTGTAGAATACATCAAGGTGAGTGACCTTGGCTACATTATCTGCAGTTAAAGTGTTACTTGCAAAGTAAATGGAAGCTATATGATGGTCAGCTGCTCTGTTTTGAGTTTGTCTAAGGCTAGAGAAAATTAACTGGGGTCCTAGAAGATGATTTGCATCTAGCATGAAAAGCAAATGGATTTCCAAGCATCTACAAAGACAACAATGGTTGCTGCTCCAGCAACTAGTCTCTAAATGTTCCACTGTACTGTACAGTGTACGCTGGGACCACAGCGAGCACCAAAGTACCACGACCTGTTGTGTTGCTTCTAAATGACCTGTCAGGCACTTTATAGGTAGGTGGAGAAGCTGTTTCAGATTAGACACTCGGAGGGAATTAGAAAAGGTAAACGTTTTACAAAAATAAAAGTCAGCCCACCAGTTATGAGCTCAACATACAGTAGAAATAGCTGGCCTTGTAAAAAAATAGTGATTTCTTTTTCAACAGTTCTTGAAGTGTGCTGACTGAGGTTGAGGAGATGAGGGTTATGGTGAGCGAGGAAGCATGGTGGGAGCGGGTGTGTGTTGGTGATGGGCTGATGGAGGAAGGGAAGCCCCACAGTGACGGTCCCTCTCAGTGCCAGCTGCAGCAACAGCGACCCGCCTTAGTGGATGTTAAAGTTTCTGAAGTAGTCAAAGGTCGCCCCCAGGGCCCAGCTTGTCTCCACATTGTTCACCTTTTTGGCAAGCTGTCGAAGCAAAAGAGAGGAGGGATCTCCATCAAAACCATTTAGTTTGACGATGATTTTAAAAATACAGAGTTGAAGTGACAGGATGTGAAGGTTTTTGTAATCCGTTTTTATAAATAGCTACAGTAAAAAACCTGTCTGTAATTAATTTCACCCACATGAAGCACCGTGCTGTCTTTAAAGCCAAAGCCCTCTTTTAACAGGCAGGTGATGTATGTCATATCCATGCACAGGAAGGGATTAATTGCCCGGTATTTGGTCATCTTGTTGCACACTGCAAACACACACACACATGGAAAAAAACATCAAAACACAGTTTTTATATGTGGCATGAACAGAAGATTCACATGTTACGCAACAGCATAAAAATACCACCTTTTCTAACTTGTGTGCAGCATGATTAAAAGATAGCCTTTCTGTTTTGGTTGGCTGAATAATCATGGAGGTGCGATTAATACGACTCAAGGTCAGCACAAGGCTGCGGGTGGGTGGTGGTGTTAAACAGCCGAGCACAGTGCATGTGTGTGTGTTTCAGTATGTGTCAGCCCCCAGGTGGTGTGTGGCTGTCAGGTGCCCTCCTGCCAGGGCCAGACAGACATCCTCAGCTCAGCTGCCAGCCCAGCTTGAGCTAGACTTGTTCCTCCAGACCACGTGACAGCGTTCTCACAATACAAACAGCCTTACATAACACACCAGCTCATTCCTGCTCGCTATAAATGTGGTTCAGCATGGACATTACAGCTGTAACTTACTGAAAATGATAGGAATGGCATGTGTCAATTGAATATACTTGTGCATTTTAATAGATTGTTAACATATATTTACTCTATAATAAACTACATTTGACCTGTAATTTGTCTCCATAATGCGCTTAGGAAAATAATCTGTTACATTTTACTGTTGTAACACATTCTTTTTTGACAGGATAAGTTGTGCCAGTTTGGCGTGCCAGGCTTCTGGGCACAAACAAGCATTTACTTGACTCTACAGCATGAAGTTTCAGCGGTTAGAATATATTTATAACTTGTAAGATTGTCGGTTTCACTCACTTTATCCAAACCTAGAGAAGATAGCGTGTGTAACTCATACCTTCTTTGGCTCTCTTCTTGAAATCCCTGACTTCAACCGTACCACCTCGACTGCCATCTGTGGAACAAATGCAAAAACAAATGTGCACTCTGAATACCTACTTTGTGCAAAACATGGTAATTGACATGAAAGATAATGGAAAGGGTAGGTGAGCTGCTGGCCTGTGCCTACGCACCGATGAGACCAGACTGCACAGCGCTGTCGAAGTAGTAGGAGAAAGCATAGAAGATGCTGTTGCCTCTCACTTCATATGGCTGGTGAATTATTCCTTTGATCACCTTCATGACCTCGTAGTAGCACAACTTATAGCCGGCGTATCCTGAGGAAAGAAAAGAGCAGGAGGAGGAAGAAGATTTGTGACTTAATGTTGCATAGAGGAAGGAATGCAGTTCAGAACACTGGGAGCCTCACTCTGAGGTCAGCCAGCGGTTGAAGCTAGGGGCTTACCAGATAATATACAAGGGAAGCCCCAGAAGGGCAAGTTTCACACAGCCCCATGGGTATGGTTGGCTCACTTGTGCCAGCAAAACCATGTGCTGACAAGAACGGCAGCTTGCACAGCCCTGTTGTGCTGTCTATTTTTACCACATAATTGTGAGCAAGCCAGATCAAGCTGCTCGTTACACAAAAAAATAACAATTCAGGGACAAGCCCAGCATCTTTTGGCTACTCGACTGTGGTATGGGAGTGACTGCCTTATTTGTGAACTTAACTGACAGTTTTCTTTTCGTTTAAATACAAGGTTGACTGCAGTATAATTGTTCAAGAGTGAAGACGGAGAGGGAGAGCGGATGACAAAACATGCGTTCGGCGCCAAGGTTAAACTTTAAAATGTTCTCATGTGAGACTGTATTATACTGTACGCTATTGTGTTCCAGAGTTTGGAATGGAATGCATGGATTGTTGGATCCAAGACAGTGGGAATACAATCGAAACCTCAGAGTGCTTTTATCTTACCGTCTGGAATCCCGCTAACTTTATAGGTGGTTCCTGAAAAATTCGCATTTTCCCTGAACTTTTTCGGGAGGCATGAGCTAGAGAAGACTTTCCAATCCAGACCTGGGAAAACAAACATTAAAAAAGGTTTTTTTGTCTTGAAACCAATATATTTATGAAAGAATAACAAGAAAAATGATTAAAGTTATAAGACACCCTACCATCAGCTCCCAGTGCTCCAAGAGCTGCATAGCGAGCTGCATATAGTCCATTTCCAAGGTAGCTGTATAATGATGATATACAGTTAGGATCAATTTAAAGACATATATGCATGTCCTGCTTTGCATTATACTAAAAATATCTCACTCCTGGATTTACCTGTGTGTGTAGAGCTGATATGTTTGATTGAAGAGGTCAAAGTTGGCGATGTAATTAGTTGGAGCAGACTGAACAGTTTTCTGTTGGATCAACAGCACGTTTAGTTTCGTCGTGGACTTTTGGTGAAAAAAATATATATGTATATTTAACATGTAAAAATGTTTATTCACCTTTGACTTCGGGAGGAACGAGATCTGTGTAGATCCTCCGCCCAAATCCAGAATCCCGACCGTCCTCCTCGTGTTGGAGTAAAGGTGACCTAATGGCAAATAAGCAGCAAGTTGAACACAGGACACGGGATAAGAACGATTAAGTCCATCGTCGGTGTAATAAAAAGTACATATTGTTATAAATCTACTAATTTCCTAAGTTGTAGTTAGAATTTCCTGTGTCGTGTGAAATACATTTGATGGTATCACAGCGGTGTGAAAAACGTGAGGAAATATTGCTTGTTTTTGCAGTCTGTTTTGGACCAATGATTCAAGCTCATAACCTCAGAGAGGAGACAAGAGTCTTTCACTGAAGGGCTTCTGTGTACACTGGAGCCTCAGATATGAGCCTGCTGACCACTAACACCACCATAGCAAAACACAAGCAATGTCTTACCTGTAAGGAAGTTCACTGTGACCCAGGCGAGGACTCCTAAAACAGCACATGGGTGAAAATGTCAGCATGAGTCAATCCCTGAGAAGTGATTACAGCTGAGTTATGATAAATGTGCCCATTTAAACAACTTTAAACCTGCAGAATAACCTGCGAATGACTTTTAGTTCGGTTCTTCTTTATTAGGCTGATACATAAATAGCAGCTTTCGGTCTAACTTGCACGACTGCTGAGCAATCCAGGTAATTACAGTTGTCTCAGATGTAAAAGTTATTGCACTCATAAAGTGAGGATAACAAATAGCGCATAGTCTATGATGAAACATAACATAGCGAGGGTGTCTTAATGAGTGATGTGGAGGCTCACGCTAAATTAAAGGGCGTGGGGCAGCTTGCGCTCACACTGCCATATTTATTTGTCTTAAATGAGGTAGTAACAGAACTCTCATAAAAAGAATTACAAGAGCAGCATTGTTTGTCCTCAGTAAACGGGGCTGGT